GCAAAGCCGCCTTCTGCGAAGTCACAGCTGGAGGAGAGAGACTCCTAGTGCTTCCAGCAGCGCTGTCCTCGCACCTGGACCAAAGCCCCTGGGCTGGGGCAGCCTCCACTTTCATGGCGCCTGTTTGCCTGCGCTGTCCTGCCCCGTGTTGCTCTGCTCAACAGTAGCCCATCCTCCCCTGGCTTGTTCTGAGTAGACTGCACTGCAACCGAATGGGATCGACCCCGGCACACATCTCCGAAATAATTGAAGGAATCCTGCTGGGGGGCCCGCGAGCTGGATAGGAGCCGTGTCCCGTGGAGGGGCTTGCGAAAGCAGGAAAGCCGGGACAGAAGAGCAGTGCAGATGCCATGTGATCATCCTCTATCCCACAGTAACTTCCGACGGTCCAGCTGGAACTCTCACCCACTTCTGCTCTTCACAATCGGAGGGAAGCCAGCACGTGCCCAACGGGAGTCTCCTATCAGCGTGGGCGCAGGTGGCATGGGTACACGGCCGATTGCACCCGGGATTGTGCAGGGCACTAGATCGGCCCTTCTTGCAGTCCATGGTCCTGAGCTGCCTCACCCAAGCTTCCTCTTGTCGCCGTCTTCTTCAAATCCTGGGCAGGGCAATCGGGCTACAAGCGTCTTCCATAGTGTTCGATTTGCAGCAGTGGCTTCTTTATCCTTCCATTCAAGGTTGATACTTCTTAAGAGAGCTGGTGCGGGGTAGTGGTTAAGAGCATGGGAGTGGGACTCAGACAACCTGGGTTCTAGTCCCCGCTCGGCCGTGAAGCCAACTGGGTGACTTTGGGCAGGTCGCAGATTCTCAGCCCAACCTACCTCACAGGGTTGTTGTTGTGAGGAGAAGATGGAGGAGGAGAATGATGGAAGCTGCCTTGAGCCCTTTGTAGGAAAAAGGCAGGAGAAAATTGAAAAATAAATAAAATAAATAAGTCATTCTGCAATGACTTGCAAAGTTTGACACCAGGTCTTTTCTGGCCTTCCTCTTCTCCTCCAACTACCTAGTGGTACCAGTTAATTGTGATCTTAGCAGGGCGTTGTTTATTCATGGAGAGGCCAGAATGGCCCTTTTTATTTAAGTGTCATTTTAATTGTAAACAATATTTGCTTATTTATCTGGCCAGGGCGACTTCTTTTATATTGTTATTTTTGTATTTTATTGTATTTTATTTTGTGTTGTGAGCCACCCCGAGGCTTCGGCAAGGGGCGGCATAGAAATGTTTTAATAAATAAATAAATAGCGCACATGTCCAGCAAAATGCCCTCTCCATTCTGTTATCAACTCTCCCACGCTAGCTGGGCATTTACGTTTAAGCACCTGCTTGCCATAACCATTTCCTGAGAATGTGCAGATGCACAATCCAGGCACACCAGTGGAGCGGCCATTTTGGCTTGGCCAGGCCGCAACGGCGTTGTTGAAGTCAGCGCTATCGCGGGGGGGGGGGTGTCCAAGTGCGCGTTCATGAGCTTTCCGGACTGCCTTGCTTTCGGGGGGGGTGCGTGCTCGAACTCTGAGCCACGTGCGCGTCCGCTGGAGGCCAGGGCATGGGGGTGATCTGCCCACACTCGAGTGCACCCCTGGGCGCATGCCAGAGGGCGCGTGCCATCTGCACCGCACCGCCGCGCACGGGGCGCATTCCACTGAGAAAGACGGAGTGCAAATTGACACACTGGAGTTATTTTTAGCTTGTTTTTCAGTCCTGTCAAGTTCCCAAAAGCAGGACAACAATCCAAAGGTTTTGACAGTACAAATAAAAGAACAAGAGCAGAGACAAATTACCACCCAGAAAGGGATGGGCATCTGGGGGCTTCGCCTGCACAGAAAGCATTCCCGGCCCTGTCCTTGCATGTTTTATGCGCACAGCAGCAGGGCGAGCTGAATGCCCCATTGTGTGGCGATCTGCGTGGCCACTCGTAGCGGGCTGGGCAGGGCCGCGCACCCCCTCCTCAGGTGCTCCTTGGCCACACTCTGCACGCTACCTGGAGCTCACCACTCTCCTTTCGCGTCAACCGTGTGCCGCCGCTGCAAGAGGCTCCACAGGCGGCGGTGCTGCTGCTCCCCGCAGAGGCGCCGAGGCAGCCGCCCCGATGCTGCAGAGTTCCTGCACGAGCACTGGGGGGCCTGCCTGTGACCTGCGGCCTCAGCCCCCCACAGCCGTGGGCCTGCTTTTTGGGGCACAAGGAGCCCTGCTGGGTGACCAGCCGACCACAGCTTTCCCTTCCAGCATGCCCACCATCTTGCGTCTGACCAAGAAAGGCAGTGGCCTCCTGGTCCCAGGGGGCGATGGGTGGGAATCAATGTGGTCACCCAGTGTGGAGAACCAGTGTGGTGCAGTGGTGAAGAGCATGAGACTGGGACTCAGGCAACCTGGGTTCGAGTCTCCGCTCAGCCATGGAGCCAATTGGGTGACTCTGGGCCAGTCACAGACTCTCAGCCCAACCTACCTCACAGGGTTGTTGTTGTGGGGATAAGACGGAGGATGCAAATGATGCAAGCTGCCTTGAGCCCTTTGTAGGAAAAAGGCAAGAGAAAAATCGGAAAATAAATAAATACATAAATACATAAACATCCACACCCGCCCCCACCCGGCCTTTAATGTTCTCCAGAAGGGTTCTGGGGTCGGGAGAGGGCACTTGCTGGGCAGTGGGGCGGGGACCCCCCCCCCC